AGTCCTCAACTTACAACGGTCCGTTTAGTGACCGTTCAAAGTCACGACGGCAGTGGGGAAAAAAGTGATTTAGGACCGTGGCTCACACTTAATGACCGTTGCAACATCACCTGTGGTCACGTGATCCAAATTCAGAGGCTTGGCAACTGACTCGTACTTATGACGGTCGCAGCGTCAACGATTCCCCCTTTGGCGACCTTCCGACAAGCAGTGAGGATTCGCTTAAAGACTGTGTGACTATGTTAGCGACTGCAGCCAAGGCAAGAAAAGTCGTAAAGTGGGGTGAAACCTACTTAAGAAATGTCTCACTTAGCTCAATTGTGGACGTAAGTCGAGGACTCCGTGTACGGGGGAGGGGGCTGACCATCAGAAATTCAGAGGTAGTCGGTAAGTCCCCTTTTTCAAGTAGGTCGTAACTTTGAGCGACGGCTGTGACCCCACATAGGTACAGTTAGTCCTCGATTTACGACCACAATGAACCGAATGTCAGAGTTGGAAGGGATCTTGGAGGTGTTCTAGTCCAACCCCCTGCTCAGGCAGGGGAGGGGACCCTGTACCATTTCAGACAAATTGTTGTCTGCTCTCTTCTTCAAAACAGCCAGTATTGGAGAGCCCACAAATTTAGGTGGCAAGCTGTTCCACTGGTTAATTGATTTGGGATTAGCGAATCGCAGAATAACTGGAGTTGGAAGGGAGCTTGGAGGTCTTCTAGACCAGCCCACTTCTCAAACAGGAAACCGTGTACCCTTTCAGACAAATGGCTGCCCAATCTCCTCTTTGTAACCTCCTTAACAACTTCTGGTGGTAGGCAGTTCCGCGGGTGAATTGTCCTCGCTGTCAGGAAATTTCTCCTTAGCGCGATGTTGCTTTCACTCCTTGATTGAGAATCGAACCCAACGTTTTGTCTGCGTTTCTCCTCCTCTCCGCGTTGCCAGGTCCACTTCAACGAGGGGAAGACGGTCTACATGAAGCTGGACGTGATGTTGAGCGGACAGCTGGCCTTGCGCTGTTTGGAGCAGTTCCCTCCCACCAGCTCGGGACCCCGGGAAGCCGAACTACACGTCTGTCAGGTGTCCGGATTGCTTCTCCTGCGTCCCGAAGCCTCCATCCGTCTTCGCACCATCCCGCACGTCCGTCTCAAAGCGGACCGCTACCTCACCTATTTCGGCCTCTTCCAAGTCCACTGAGAAGACCAGGCAGCGGGAAGACCGCAGGGCTGGGGTCCCAGGTGGGCTCTGCAGAACCAGAGAGGAGGCCCGCAGTTGCTGCCTTCCGTGTGGCGGGTGCGTCCGAGCGCGGAGCGGTGTATCGGTTGCTCCTTTTCGCTTCTGGACTGGCAATTCTCCGTTTACTCGCTTCCGGGGCCGTCGTTCTGAGGTCCACCCGGGTGCCAGCAGCAAAAAGTGTGGTGGGGCAGGGGAGGGGTGGGGGGTGGGGTCTAACCGGTTGCTGTGTCTTCACTTTGTGGTGGACTTTGCAGTCCAAACAACCGCAGGAATCCGACAACGGATTCAAACGACGAGGAACTGGCTCAGTGACCTGTGTAGATTCCGGTTTATCTAATCCTGTTTCTTGCCCGGGTCGTGTGTATTCCCGGCGCTTGTTACGCTTCGCACCCTGGCTGGGCACCGTGGCATCGTCTGTTTTGTATTTTGATCCTTTTCTTCGGCTTCCTTAACGGGTTCACGGGATGTTTGGAAGGATCTCTGCCATCTTGGGGTGGTACGACGTTGACGCGACCACACGCAACGGAGCAGAATTGTGCAGCCCGCTCAGGAGGGACCCATGGTGGACAACAGACTGATGTTTGGGTCCCGGCCAGCAGGGGAGTGGCAGAACCCCCCAAGGAAGTGGACGCTGGGCTTTCGCCGAACAGGGAAGGCCGAAAGGTCAAAGGCTCACAGCTCCCCATTGGCTGGAAAGCGAGGAACGGGTCGAGCTCTGCCCCCCGTGGTCAGTTTCAGTAACAGAGGGCGTTCAGATGACCCCTTGGAAACGGAAGGCGCGAAAACCCCAGTTGGGGCTGCAAAAAGTCACGCGCATCTATACGTTTGACATTGCCACGGTTCCATGCACCTACACAGGCAGTATCGCAAAACCTAGCACGTGCCCCCAAAAGGCAGCGTCATAGAAGGTTGTGTTGTACCCGCGGATGATCTATACTCTTTGAAATGATTGCAATGGGCAGCCCCCTCCTCTCGCCATCACTGCCCACACAGCTTAACGCAACTCGTTTATTTTATAGGAAAGGGGGCAGGGACGGGGGGAGGGCGAAAAAACCCTGCCCGTCTTTTTTTCCCGACCCTGTTGTTTTAACCGCCGCACTCCCGGCAGCCTTCCCCGCTCGCCACGACAACGCACGGTGCCCTCCGGCGCGGAGATAACGTGGGCACCTTTCCGTTTCATCGAAATAAAAGTGGAACGCAACCGATTTTTTTCCGGCTGTCGTCGCTTTGCTGTGTATCGTTGACCTCCCGTGTCGTCGTCCCCCGAGCGTTGGTCATGCCAGCCTCGTCCCCGCTCAACTTCCTGTTTGTCTACTTCAAATCCACTCCACTTCCTTTTTCTGAAACGGGAGGCGGGGGGTTTTCCAAGGGAGATGTGAAGATCGTTAGTTTCCTATAATCGGCTCGGTTCCCTTTGCGTGCCCGAGATTTATGTTTGGTTTCTGCCGAGACAAGAGTTGTTGGGTGGTGGGGGGGGGGTTGTGAGCTCCGGCACCCGCTTACCACTTGCACGCTGGGCTGCGACCGAAGCCTTAAACTGAGGGCTTATTGCCTGGCCTGAAAGGAACTGGCGTAGGGCCGGGATGGCAAACCTGTGGCATGCCGAGCCATATTTGCCAGCATGCCAGCCGTCAGCTCCAGCCGGCCAGCTGATTTGCGGCCTTCCGGGGAACGCCGGGGAAGGCTGTTTTCACCCTCCCCAGGCTTCAGGAAAGCCTCCGGAGCCTGGGGAGGACGAAAGTCGGGCCCAACAGTCCGACCGGAAGTTCGAAAACAGATTGTAAACGGAAGTAAGAACTTCCGGGAGGCTCGTTTTTCGGCCTCCCCAGGGCGAAAAGAGCCTCCCCCGGGCTTCCCTAGAAGGCCGAAAATCAGCTGGCGGGCTGGAGCTGATTGCACGCATGCCGGCAGATATGACTCGCGTAGCAAAAGTTCGCCATGACGGCCCTACGCCATTTTGGATGGTTCCTTTAAGGCCAGGCAATAAACCCCCAGTTTAAGGCTTCGGTTGCAGCTCAGTGGTCTCTCTGTGCGAGTTGTAAGCAGGTGCGACGTTCACAACCCCCCCCCCCCCAACAACAACAACAACAACTCTTGTCTCGGCAGAAAAATAACGAAATTTTCGGGCACGCCAGCGGAAACGAGCCGATGATAGGAAACAAACGATCTTCGATTCTTCCTTGGAAACCGGGCCCAACGGTCCGATCAGAAGTTCGGAAACATCGTAAACGGAAATAAGAACTTCCAGCTCTGTTAATCGGTATCTGCATTTGAACCAGAGGCGTGCCCAATGCATACAGTCCTCGACTTATGACCGACGTTGCAACGGGGATTTAAAAACAGGGATTTGAAGTTCCGTGACCTCTCCCCCCCATGTCACGTGACCGCTTTGGGGGCTGCTTGGCAATTTCCCCCCACATTTACGACAAAGGGATCCATGACAATTTTTCTGGCAAATACCGCCCATGGCAGACAGGGGTTCTCTTAACGACCGTGGGGTTTACTTTACGACTGCTGCTTTTCTTAACGACCGCCCCTCTTCCCACACACACACACACATGCAAAAAGAATAAGACAGAGTGACAGGATGACTCGCTTAACGACTGGCATAGCTTCTTCACGGACTTTGCTCGTCGGAAGGTCGAAAAATGGGATCTCAGAACCTCTCGCCTCACGATCCGGAGGCTGTGAGTTCAATCCTAGGTAGAGGCAGATATTTCTCTCTCTCGGCATAATGAGAATATATCTGTCGAACAAAACTCCTCATTGGCAACAGGGTAGGGCATCCGGCCAGTAAAACACTCAGCTGCGTTCAATTGCCCAGATTCCACCCCGTGAGGGATTCTGCGGTCGTTAAAAGAGGAGGAGGAGGAGGAGGATAGTTACTCTGGGCAATTCATAAGACCAAAGTTCTCTTTGTTTTAGCTTTTGCCACAATTTGTGATTGTTCACTCTTATTTTCCGTGTCAAACACAACTATTTTTATTTTCAGTCAGTTGTTTAGGAGGGAGACATCACACAAACATTCCCAGATTCGCTGTCCATCTTTTCAGTTCTTGAAAAAACACAACCTCACCGAGACACAAAAACGGACGCACCTTCACACCACAGTGTAACCCGCTGAAGTGTTACAATGATTCATTTAGTGACCATAAGAAGTTACGACAAAAAAGTGACCTACGACCGTTTTTCATACTTACGACTGTTGCCACCTCCCCTGATCAAAATTTGGACGCTTGGCAAACTGCCTCGTATTTATGACGGTTGGCGTTTCCCCGGGGTTACGCGATCCCCTTTTGCGACTTTCTGGCGACCATAGTCAAGGGGTTGTTAAAGATGGATTCACTTAACAACTGTGTTGCTGACTTAACGTCTGCAGTGATTCACTTAACAACTGTGGGGGGGGGAAAGGCAGCACAAATGGGCAGAGCTCGCTTTAAGACATGTTTTCACTTAGCAACGGAAATCTGGGGGTCAATTTTGGTCGTAAGCAGAGGACCTACCTCTATATGCCTTGTTTCCGTCACCTGCCACCATTTTGTGCTTTCAACTTCCATATTCAAACGAAGCTTTCGATCACTCAAGTCGACTCACGTTGTTGTACGTTGTTTTTGCAAACACCTGGACAATAAACAGAATTGCGTTCATGTCTTTTTGGTGAATTTAAGGAAGGATTTACGGGGAAATAGCAATAGCAGTTAGACTTAATATACCGCTTCATAGGGCTTTCAGCCCTCTCTAAGCAGTTTACAGAGTCAGCATATCGCCCCCAAC